AATTCAATGTTTTGCTTTTTCTAACATAATTTCTTGTGTAATCTCTTTTTACATATTGAAAAGTTGTTTGTTACTTGTCAGAAATGGCATTCTCTTGCTTTTTAAAACTGTAAGATATGTTACTTTAGGTAATTATATTGAAATTATTCCTAAATAATAAATAGAATTAAATTTCCTTGTATCAAAATCTAATGTAATTTCTTTTTTAATGTGCGGCCCTGGACTATTATTTATAGGGCTGAGGTGGCCCTCTGTACAAGTTGAGTTTGACATGTCTGATCTAGATGGAAACTTATTTTATACTTGGGATAGCATTAGCAGGTTTCTTTGAGACATCTACACGCGCTCCCATCCCAAAAGACCCTTGTCTTAATTTTAAAAGCCCCAGTAATCTCAAATCTCTTGTGGTAAGTCAATTTCAAAGTCACCGAGGATAGGCAAGGCCCTACATAACTGACGTTATCAGTATTGTAAATTGGTACTTAACGTTGTTTATTAAGCAGAATCTCTCTCTCTCCTGTTACTCCCACTTGGAGCACAGGGCATCCGTGAATCTCCCCTTTCACTTTAGTTCCTTAATTTTGCAGCCAATCGGTAAGACTCCTTGGACTAGGGATCAGCCCTTCGCAAGGGTACAATCTACACACAGGACAATACAAACACAGAATAAACACAGACAGACATTCATGCCTCGAGTGGATTCGAACCCACGATCCCAATGTTCGAGGTGGCAAAGACAGTTCATGCCTTAGACCGCGCGGCCGCTGTGATCGGCACCTCGTAAGAGTAAGCTAAGGGCCGCGCCATAGCTCAAGCTGTTAGTCGCTGGTTTCCCAGTGCGGCGGCCCGGGTTCGATTCCGGGTCTGGTCAAGTGGGATTTGTGGTGGACAAAATGGCGCTGGGGCAGGTATTCTCCCAGTACTTCGGCTTCCCCTGCCAATCTTCATTCCACCAATTGCTCCAGAATCACCCTCACCTATCATCTGGGGCTGGTGCAATAGGCCAGAAGTGGCCGCAGTACAGGGAACTTAGTCCCACCCCACTAGCAATAGGAAAAAAGATAAAGTTGTCTCCGTGCTTAGATAGTTAATTAAGCACTACGCCATGAAGATGTATGGGGATGTATGGATGTATAGAACCATATTTCTTTGACTAGTTAGAGGTGAGTGGTCAGCTTCACACCGAGACCAAGTCTGAGTAGCCGCTTGAAATTCATCACATCTCCTTACCCTAATTGGGTAGCCTCTCATTCAATAGACAAGGCTTCGCCTTCTGGTCTGTAGAAATCTGCAAGCCGATGGACTGCGCTGATTAAGGGTCAGACCAAGGCAACACCAATCTGCCGTGACCGGATCGGCCCAAGATCATGCGCGAATTTAACGGCGCGGCCACCGGAGCCGGCATATGTTACATGCCGATAAACTGACGGACTAAGCTACGTCGTGATTCGTGTTCCTCTCTGAATAGACAGGCCTTTGTCATAATTATTATGCTGATTAAGAAATTCCCTATTGGACTTCAGGTTGTAACAGCGGTGGCCATGAGATTATAACACAGTGTACTCCGCTAGAATTTAAGACACATTTCGGAGGAACATAGGTCTCCATCTTCAGTATGGAATTTTAATCCAAGCAACTTGAATTCTACCTGTCTACATGGCGCTACCTTCTTTAAGAAATCATCTGTTTCTTCGGAACACTAAAGTGTATCAGTGTGATAATTTGTCCCTATCCGCAGTCGAATGAATCAAATCCACTCTTTATATTAATATTATCTCATCATTTAAACTATTATTAGGTCTAATAAGTAAGGCTTCGCTTTGAAGTAAAATTTGGTAAAAGTAAAGCTATCCCTGTAACAGGCCGAGGAAGCCCATAGGGTTGTGAGATGTTGAGGTTCCAATATTATCTAGACAATCAGCTCATAGATGGCGGTAAGTTTGTCAGCCTTACGCTCCGGCCGCCCTTTACCCCCAGGAATATTCTTGATACTCATTTCTGTTACAGGCTGAGTCGAACCCAGGGCCATAGTGCGGCTGGAAGGATTAGGTCAATTGAAAAACCCAACTCCTCAGGATTTGCTCCATCCATTGTAGCTTACATAAACAGCCCATCTCATGACACTCCACATGGCGAACCTAATATATGCTGAAGTGTTTAAAATAATAAAGTTGTACAATATGGAGTGTGTCTATTTCTCGCTCTTAGGCTCAATCAACAAACGCTCTGAAATCCTCCCATAATTTGGACTGTAATTTTCACACCTAAAGCGAACATTTGGAGAGCCCACATCTTTCTATAACTAAGACTTACTCTTACACGTATAGTATTCCATCATGTTCTGATTGTAGCGGTAAGCCGTGGTAAGATCCATGGCTGGGGGCCGGAAGGAGAACAGACTGAAGTTTGATGGATCCAGGATGACGGTTTCAGACTGTAGCACCAACAACAATGCCCCACGACCTACACACACAGTAACATTGTTGTTCTCCAACAATGCGACAGCATGACTCCTGTTGCTGAACCACAAACCCCAAACGTCACTGTATGTTCCCAAATCCCGTGTTATGCATCTCAATTTGGGCAATATATTTGAGTAAATCACAGTCACAAGATTAACGAAACACTTCAGGAATGTGTAATTGCTTCTTGTTTTTGGTGTTTCACGTAAATGAAGCACAAACTCTGTTCGGCATTCTAAAGTTCTTGCGTCACAGTTGAAATACACCTCCAACGATCTGTTATCTTCTGGTTCCGAGGCCTTTTCACTGCACTTCCTGGGTTCGAAGTCCCGTTTGATGTAATGTATCGTGACTAGAAATCCGTTTTGATTATCTGACGCCAGAAAGGTTCTCCGATTAGAACCCTCAGAGTTCCAGCAAACAGTAATGTTGCTTCTGGACAATAATGACCAGCGAAGGTACCGTAAAACTTGAGGGTTTACTTGCCGGCAAAATGCGAACACTGAAGTTACCGGAACAATGTGAGGAAACGAGGGTTCAATTCCTGTCAACTGGTCTGTCGGCATTCAACTCCAATATACCTCGTCTTCCTCCTTAAAGGAAACAGCCCGCCGCACAATAATCATCGTTGTACCCGCTCAGGGCGACTTCGCGTTTCGTAACATTCTGATGTGGCACTTTGTTGCCAAGGGTTAGTGGTGTGAAGTGGGTGAAGGAGGGAGTGTAGGGTGTTTTACGAAGGGGGGTATGTATAGGAAGGGATGAGGTATAGTGGCAGTGGTTACAACGAAGAGAAGGGATGGGGAAACCAGCAACCAGATAATAACAAGAACCCTCCTCTGCGCTACCACCCCTTTCAAGCTTTCTACACCAACCCCAAGTCATGTGGCTCTACTGAGGATGCCGGTTGACACATAGGTTTATCCTAAGCGATTACCGTTCCTGTCTGTAGCATAATCCCACACTCAGACATCAGCAACCAAAACATCAAGCACTCTGTCTCACTCTCCACTCCGCCGTGTGCCAATCCACAGATCCCACCACTAGCAGCCCGCCATGCTTTTAGCTTTTACACCCATGTTACTGGCATAAACCCCGGCTATGATATTGTCTCTGCGACGGATAGATCAAGAGGAAAAGAGATGGAGAACAGATCTGCATTTCTCTCTTTGTCACTCTCACGCTCTTTCATATCACACTTTACTTCAGGAGAGAAGAGGGGGGGTTGAGGGACAAGGGCGGACTACGCAGTCTCTGGCAGAGCAAAGCATCACAAACCAGAACATGAAAACTGTAGAGGGGGTGAAGAGACGGAGGGGGGATATAGGGGATGTTAATGCGTGTCTGTCTGGGAAGGTTTTCTATTGGCTAGCCACAGTCAAAGATCAGATCACGTGGTAGGGTTAGGGGGGGTTGTGATGGGCGGGGTTTTGGTTTCGACCCATTCCTCGGTCGCTTTAGCCTGGACTTTGGGATGCTGTGGCTGTCAGGACGCGCGTCTATACTCACCGGCAGCTGGCGTAGTCGTGACGACACAGGATTGCGCCTCGTGAGTAGGCAACACACTAATCAAGTGAGCCCTTTACTGTCTCCTCAAAATGGGACAATGATTTCCATGATTAAATGTAAACATTCACAAGCATAGACATGGTAAAAGTAATTCTGTCACCGTGCAGTATGCCATGAAGGCGTATGGGGGAGTGGATGTATAGCTCCACAATTATTGAACATCGGCATTTCATGAAAATTGTCAGCTTCACGCCCTTGTCGCTTTACCCCTCTCATAGAAGGCTGTGTGGGCCCCACAGCCAGTATGGACACTGTGGAGAGGAGAACAAATTTTGCCTCTGCCTCGAATTGAACCCTGGCATTCCAACCACAAGCCCATTATTAGACAGACTAAGCTATCTCAGCTCCTCATATTTATATTCATACGGGGAGTAATTTCTTGCGAAATGTCAGTTACGCCACTCGTCAAAATCACAGGAATGTGTAGGCGTTCACAAGAGGCAAAACTGGAAAAAGGGGAAGCTAAAATTGGAGCTGTTTTAAGATCGGGGGGGTTCATACAGCATGACCTGCGTGCGCTTGCGCTCTGAGCGCCATATGGCACCTTCTTTAGGGAATCAGACAACACGGCGCTGATTAATCAGGAGGGGTTAGGGGAGGTCGTGGAGACATTAGGCCCTCATATGTCATACACACATCCGTCTTTACTTGGCTTTTATTGGCCACAGTTCGAATCCGAGAGGTGAACTGACAACTTGACCAAGAAACTGAATGAATAATTTATAATTTCATAAAAGTGAAAAAAGGTAAATTTGTCCCTGTGCTTAACTAAGTAGTATGTCATGAAGGCGTATGGGGGAGTGCATGTATACATCCACGTTTTCTTGATCTCGGTATTATATGGAGGTGAATGATCAGCTTCACCACTGGCGGCTCTACTCCCAGAACTCTTTGGATAGGAGGCTGGGTGAGTTTCAGAGACGGTCTGGACGATATGGAGGAGAGAAAATTTTTCTACCCTGACTCGAACTCCGACCCCTCGGTCGTCCAACCCCTACCCAGTCGCTATACCGACTACATTATCCCTATGATCAACAGACGAAATAGCTGACACAATTTCAGCGAAATCGGTTTGTCAGTGACATGACTAATTCCTGCATTAATTCGTTATTAAGTCAGCTGTTCACTTACTGCCCTAGTTTATCATCAGACAATTATTAAGTCGATTCACTTCATTATTGTAATCACAATTCTGTATCTATTACGAAAACGTAAAAAGTAAGTTTGTCCCACGCTTCAATAATTAAACTCCACGTTATGAAGGCGTATGGGGGGAGCGGGACTACAGCTTCACTCTTTTTGATGGAGAATTTAGTGGAATGAAGATTGGTAGTGGAAACCGAAGTACTCGGAGAGAACCCGCCCCAGCGGCGATTTGTCCACTACAAATTCCACTTGACCAGAACCTGGATCGAACCCGGGCCGCCGCATTGGGAAGCCAGCGACTAACCACTTGAGCTATGGCGCGGCCTTGAGAGGATGTAAGTCCTCTTTCGAATGATCTCGTAGGGTGTCGCGTGAGTGCCCTGGGAGTCTCCCATCAGGTGGAAGCCGAAACATGTCTCGCAGTGTAACCTACACCACCCTGCGGTGTCCAGTGAACGTTTCCCATACGTTGCTGCGGGCGAGAGTGGACCAAGTTCACCGGGCTCACTCAAGCGAAGGAACAGATGATTGGCTAGGATTTAGTACTGCATTACTTCCTAGTACCATGCTAGCATTATCATTAGAATCCTCAGCCTAGATAACTGGTACGCCTATAGGATTTCCGTCATCTGTGAACAGATTGTCTAGAAAATGTGGGAGCCTCGACGTCTCACAAACCTATGGGCCTCCGCGGCCTGTTATGGGGAGATTTCTTTTTTATCCTCTACAAGTCAAAGGCATACGCTCCACCAATATGCACTATGATCAATTCATTACCAAATTATCTTACTTTACTAAATTTTGATGTCCGTTTCAGCCTGCTTTTCTTATTTAAAAAAATAAATAAAAGTAGGCTTATGAAATCACCTTGCTGTCTCTGTGTGTATGTCTACATATGTTTCTCTCTTTACAAATTTTGAACGCCTGAAACGATCTTTATGAAATTTGGTATGAATCTCAAGGAACCTGAGCCCACCTCAATATTGTACTTCATGCATCCCTCCCATAAGTAATTCCCAATATTTCTTCTTTTCAAATTTGTACTGTAATAATCTTCTTATTACTTTAATATCTGAACCGATCGTCATGAAACTTGATACGTATATTATGTCGTCTAAGTTCATCTGAGCCGGTCACGGTAGCCGAGCGGTCTAAGGCATGCACTGTCTTCGCTCGCTTGGAAACCGGGACCGTGGGTTCGGATCTGTTTCCTGTGAGGTACGAACTGAATTCTTATATATTATTCTTATACACTGCCGGTCACGGTAGCCGAGCGGTCTAAGGCATGCACTGTCTTCGCTCGCTCGGAAGCGGGGATCGTGGGTTCGAATCCCACTCAGGGCATGGATGTTTGTGTGCGTTTTTCTGTGTTTGTGTACAGGTAGAGGCCTTGAGACGAGCTGATCATCCGCCCAAGGAGTCCTACCGAATGTGTAAGATCTAGTAAAACCGAAGTGAACGGAGGAGGTAGGCCTAGGCCCACTGGGGCTGTAGTGCCAAGGAAAAAAGAAGTTCATCTCAAGACATACATCATAAACTTTTCACATTAATATCAGAACTACTTCATTACTCATACATATTAAAGTTTTTGTATGCTTTTCGTATCACATAATTAGATTGCAAAGAAAGGAAAGTAATTTCCAGAACTTGTTTGTCGTCTTAGAACTGATCCCATGAATTCCTTCAGAATGTTCTGATCTTTAAGCCATTCTTCTGCTGAAGAGCAGCTTCCTATACGATACGGTAGGTCTATCCGCCGAAGTGCGCGCGCATTCTATGCATGGGACCTTTCGGTAACAATAGCTCTCACAAAGGCAGTTTACACCAGCTCCTTGCTGTAACACGATACAACCAGATATGACTTTCTCTGTTTAAGAACCCAGTTCCCCTTTCGGTAGTCATTATCATTACGTCTATACCGATCAACTGACATCTTAGTTACGGCTTGTGCGTTATTTGCAAACAAAGTGCGTAAGATAATAATAATAAAGTCGCTGGTTCAAGTCCCGATGAGGTCATTGGATTTTTTTTCAATTGATCTAATGCTTCCAGTCGCACTATGGCCCTGGGGTCGACTCAGCCTCTAAGAGAAATGAGTACCAGGAATGTTCTTGGGGGTAAAGGGCGACCGGCGAGTAGGGCTGACAACATTGCCGCCATCTGTGAGCCGATTGTATAGATAGTGTGGGACCCTCAACCTCTCACAACCCTATGGGCCTTCACGGCCTGGTACAGGGATCGCTTTACTTTAATAATAATAATAATAATAATAATAATAACAATAACAATANGGCTCAGGACAGGAACCAGTGGATGGTTCTTGTGAACACGGTAATGAACCTTCGGGTTCCATGAAATGCTGAGAAATTCTTGAGTAGCTGCAGAATTGGAGGCTCCTCGAGAAGGGCTCAGCTCCATAACTAAGTTAGTAAGTAAGTAAGTAAGTAAGTAAGTAAGTAAGTAAGTAAGTAAGTAAGTAATAATAATAGGGGACAGTGCCTATCCGCTTGTCTTGTCTTCAACTCTACCGAACAGATTTCGATAAAATATGTACTAAATGTTGGTCCCATAATTTGTACAGGCCTAACTTACTTCATGTGAGATAAAATGTTTAAAAAAAGAAACCTAATCGGGAATCGAACCAGCAATCTTCTGACTTGTAAAAAAGGGAAAGTTTAAATTATGCGAGTTTTGAGTTCCTCCAGGCGGAGAGTATGTAGATTAGGCCTCCCGTCTGCTTGGATGTAACCTCGTGTATTTCGGTAGATAATTTCGATTCGAAGGAATTTGACGCCCATATCTCCATGCTAAAGGAGTTCCTCTACTGTGACATCCTTCTACAATGATGACTTGACGAGATAGATTTTTCTGAATACCTGTTACTTGTCTACAAAACTATACGGCTATATATATCACAAAACCGTAAAAATAATTTTGTCAGATTTATTAATAAAGCTCGGGCCGCATCTGTGGTATAATGATTAGAGTTCCATGCTACATATCCAGAGGTCCGGGTTCTATTCCCGGCGCTACCTGATTTTCAGAGAAGTAATAGGTCTGGAACGGGGTCCACTCAGCCTCGTCAAGATAACTGACTAGTTATTTCAAGGAAATAGAAAATAGATATTAACTGCCGTGGGGATTCGTTGCGCTGACTACGTGACACTCTCTATCCGCTAAAGTTGGCACTAACTTCGCCGACAAGCGGCGGTCGCTCGGTCGATATAGTTCGCTTGCTGAATACAGGCCACGGAGTTTTATTTATTACTAAAGATCTACAGATTTTAGACCCCAAGGTA